GGAGGTCTAGACACTGACGAGACGCTGACATGGATAAGATCGGGTGGTTCCGCGGGATAGCCAGAAATCCATCGCTCTACTTGGTTGAGGTATGCAAAAAGGGTCTTAGTAGGTAAACAAGTGCTGTAGGGGTATATTCATCTCTCTGGGGACCTTGTTGAAATTGATTCCACGGCTTTTGACCATCTTGGTTTGGAACTAATCCAGGCAATTCAACCAATGAACCTTGAGGCCTGAACTGGTTCGATCAAGGGCGAGGGGCGACGTTCTCAAAGTTGTCCGCCTAGCAATAAATCCATTATCCGTGTTGAACCTTGTTTTGCTTCACAGAAAAGGATGAATTTCTATCCGTCATTCCTTGTGGGCCAGACGAGCCGTACGATACGAGCTGGGCCTTACGACCTTTCGGTCTTTGCTCGCGGCTTATTCTTGCTCGTAGTTCACTAAGTAAGCTGCAGCCGTTTCCCGGTGATTTGATTCAATCGCGGCATGCAATAGGCCGTAATTGAGGCCCCGAGATGAAGTCAGGCCTCGTTTGACCTTTCTGCAATTTTGGCGTCTGTATGGAGCTGCACGTGTCCATGTGGCCACGGGGTCAACAGGAAAAACAAAGTACTGTAAGCCTCATTCTTTCGAGAGCACCTGCTTGATACTGCAGGCAATTCCCCATGGATTTTACGGGCTTGTTGACCAGTCCTCACAACTCTACTGTGCATCCACGTCGTTCGAACTTTGCCTGGAAGAGACAAGAACCGTCGACTCGCGCAGGCTAGTTGGTTGATTATATGACATTTATAAAGTCATGTGCTCTTGCGTAAAAGTGATCGATCAACCGTTGAGCTTGAGGTTTGATGTACATCGCAAGCTAATGAACAAACGTTTCACCACACCTGCCATACGTCATCGCTTCTATGCGTTCATATGCCCTCTTCGCATCCGCCTTGTGAGCTACATTCTGACGAGCTTGAGACGTTTTCTAACGAGCTGCCTGTTGACTCGTCCCAAGACGGTATGTACAGGCCCTCGTACTCCCATGGATTGAAACATCGTGGAAAGAAGACGCTCTCGGAGGTACGTTCTACAATCCTAGCAGCTTCTTGAAACTGGCCAACCCTCATGGCTTTGATAGGTGCGCTGATTTGTTCCTGTTGGCTGGTGTTCC